TATGTGCGTATGACTCAGCCAAAAATACCGTACGTCTGCTTGGCTCGGAGAACTGTGGGATTGACCTGATTTTAATTTCGCGCATATGCTATCACATTGTGATAACGGTGTTTAGCTGAATTTTTCGACGTTTCTGTCGATGTTTACAGTAAATTGTTTTCGTTCTATTCTCTCGTTTCGTCGAATCTATCTGTGGACTGATAACGTGCAGATGCAAACGTTGGTATGTGCGAAAATCAAGAACAATGCACTCCATTATTTCGATATATTAGGTTATTATTGAATCCAATGTTATACTATTCGGAGTATCATTTTGCAACACGAGTGTAAATGATTATTTTTGACATATTTCTGCGAATCGTGCTGCATACGAATCCGTTGGTAAAAGTTGGCTATCGTGTCACAATTTTGAGAAAAATTATGTCAAAGACAATAAAACAATGATTTTAAAATAGTTTTTAAAACGTTGTAGCACCACGGCAATTAGTTTTTTTTTGCTTAATTTTATTAATGTTAGATTATTAACATTTAGATTTAAGATGCATTTTGGTTCATTTCGATATGATTTTTTATTTTCTAGATATAGCAATTTGAAAATATATATAATTCTTTCTTCACGTAATAATATCCGATTAAAATAAATAACAATATTTTAAAGAAAATTAATATTTTTTAACATTTTAAAATATTTATTCTATGATTCTTTAATAAAACACTGATTACGATTTACGATTATTTGTAATATAGTTTTCAATATCACAATTTCCCTTCACATTGACACAAATAACTCCATATTATAGGACAAAGGACATAGGTTAACAATTTTTTTCATATTTAAAATTTATTATATTATCTGATTAAAGTGCATACATAATTTAAAATATAAATTTTATAACATTTAAAAAAATCTTCAAATTAATTAAATAGTTACACAGTCACAAAATGTTTAAGCTCAATTTTATATTTTTTTTTGTCATAATAACCCATAGTGATCCTATACTTAGTACACTATTAACTTGAACGAGAATGCCATATGAGACATGTACGCCATATGAGAGTACTGCATATAAATAATTTTTTATATAAATATCCAGGACGTTACAATCAGCTCAGCTCATATGCTCATCTTTTTTGCATTTATAATATAAAAAAAATCTCTTATTCATTATAAACGTGATTATAAACGTAAAAATAATATTGAGTTTTTGAAAAAAAAAAAGAAAAAGAATAGAAAAAAAGATGATAGTATATCAATTTACATCAGTGTTTCTTCTTTCCAAATAATTAAGTTTCACGATATCGTTAAATGTTAATATTTTTAATTAAAAATGTTTATCATGTTCTCTATAAACATTAATTTAATTTTACTTGTTAATCAGTTAAATTTTATTAATATAAATAAATACTGTATTTAACGTTAATTGAAAGTATAGTCATTTGTTTATTAAATAAAACCTGAAATAATTATAAAATAAACGAAAAGATACTAGCAGAACGAAGCCAAAAATTAAACGTTTCAAATCGAGCAAGAGAAATTTTTTGTTGCGAAAGATGATGTTGCATAGTATATGTTGAATAACGGCGAAGAAAGTATCGCCCACTAATGAAATATATTATACGTCTTTCTTTACCAATGTTTGACTGCCCCTTCCGACCGTGGTCTGCGGAGCAAAAGGGCATATAATGCATAAACACAGACGTCGGTGAAAGTTGCATACGATGTTTGACTTCTGCAATTAAACCGGGCCAGCTTTCCATGCGTCGCAATTCGTTTCTTTTCGAGCGATTCGGTTTCATTAGTACCGCGGGTAATCCGCCTCTCTAATTTTGCCGCTCGTTGTCGCCGTCGCGTACTTTCTAATAAAATTGCGGTCAATCATTTCCAGTTTTCTGACGCAGCGCGGCTGCACGCAACGGTGGGCGAAATATTATGTAGAATTATTTCACTTTCACGACAATTTGGCGATATTTCGAACACTCACAACAATTAAACATACATAAGATTTGAATTTCAATCACAGGAATTTTTTAGAAGTATTATTAATAGATTAAATTACGTCTTTTCCATTAATACAAAATGATCTTCGACTGACTATAAATAACGTATCGTATTATCTTTGAACGAACACCTTTGATGCTAGAATCTAAATAAATATTATATCTATGAAAGTGAAAAAATTCGAATAAAAACGCAAATGTATTTGCGGTTAACAGTTTTTTTTTTTT